GAATTCACGCCACACTGCACAGATCTGTTGTAGTTCGATGTCTTGTTGAATGTCGGTTTCCGAGATGATTTCCTCTTGGTAATCTATTGCATCACTCGTATCTATAAGTCACAGAACATGTGAAAGAGTTTTTATTTATTTATTTTAGTGCTGTTTAAATAGAAGTTAAATTTTACAACAACTCACCTGAAATATCTCAGCTGAAAGCACTGTTAGTCACGTTTCCCTCAACTTCTGAATATGATACAAACAATGTTATATTCACGTATGAAAGATTTACAGCATCAAACATTCATCATTTTATGTTATGACTTACGACGTGGGAGCTCAGATTCCAAAGGTCATGAGTGGTTGTTTCGGGACTCTCATCATCAGAAATAATAACCAAGTTGTCTATAAACAGTAAAACAAATAAAATTACTTTTAATAACTTAACATTTCCATAGCCCACTACATAGATCTAAGAGACAAATTTAATTACCTATACACTATAATCAGATGAAGCTTAACTCGGTCTTTCTCTGTAATATAATGTAATGAAAATTTAATTTTAGATAAAATACCAGAAAATTACAATATGACCAGATAAGGAATTTTTTACTCGAAAAGATTAGTTCTAAGTTTATATCATAATCATTATCAATTGGATAATTACATAAACATTGTATTTCAATTTATATTTAACTATTTAACTGATTAAAATACATATTCTTACCTGCTGAGAAATCCATGGTGTCTGGAAATTCGTCGAACCTTTGCCGAGTTTAAACACTTTGTACAGTGTTGGACTTTTATAGATGGTTCGTATGCATGCTAGTGTGTGTGTGTGTGTGTATGTGTGTGTCATCATTTTTGTTTGGATGTGTGTGTGGAATGCATCAGAATGGGGGTTTTACGGTGTTGACCTTTTGACGCCGCCTGACTCGGAGTGCTTCATATTCTATGTGAAGGGGACAGAGAACTGAAAAGCAAAACGTTTCCTTTTCTGCATCGATTAGATATATAACAGCAATAAATGAACCATATTAGCATCAAAACAAGAGATCTTCTAGTTTTACTTTTATTTGCATCATTTTTGTTCTTTGTTTCTTCCAGTTTTTGGAATAATTCATCGATTTGACGGAAGTAGCGTTGCGCATCGTACAGCTGGTTCGGGATACCTCACTTCTACAATTCTCCTTGTTATCAGGGGCGTTGTCACCGGTTAATACAGCAGCACAGCGAAAACCTGGTTCTTGGAGAAATTCGTGGCCCTGATATGGTATTTACATTGCAGAGATGTACTGTTCCATTAACGCTTATGCGCATCTGGGGAAAAAAAAACAAAGCCATTGTAATAAAATCCTTACACATTCACTTTCTGAACTTTTTCCAGTCACCTTCTTTAATTTACAGTTACGTGCTTGTACGGCTCCAGTGGATGTGCCCCCGAAGAACAAGAACAAAAGCAAAAGCGTTCCTTTTTCTGCACAAAAACCGGCTGTACATCCGTTTGACATACAATATTGAATCTTTTCATTTCTTTAACATTTTTCTATTCTTGCCAAAAAGGGTGAGCTTTCTTTTACCAGGACAGAAACACGTTGTTCTACGTACAGAGTATTACGAAACCTAGAAGAGATACTCGACTTTTATAAACAGTTGTGTATGCTTTTTGTATATCCGTGCGTGTGTGTGTGTGTGTGTGTGTGTGTGTGTGTGTGTGTGTCATATTTCTGGTGGATGCGTTACACATGGCCGTTCCAGGTATGGTAACGTTTGTGTTAGGAATGTATGTGGTCCAGATTTAACATAACTATATATATATATTTATGAACTACCTCAGAGTGTGCAACCTGTGTGGAGAACATATGTGCGTGTGCGTCAGACTTGTAATTGATCCTGATTTAACAGATGGGGATGGCCGCAACAGGTGTGGTAATGTGTGTGTGTGTGTGTGGGTTTGGGTGTTAGGAATGCTTGTGAACCGGATTTAAAATAACTATATCTAATTTTATGACCTACGTGTGAACGTTGTGTCTATGTTTATCCGTAACAGATGGGGATGGCCGCAACAGGTGTCGTAATGTGTGTGTGTGTGTGGGTTTGGGTGTTAGGAATGCATGTGAACCGGATTTAAAATAACTATATCTAATTTTATGACCTACGTGTGAACATTGTGTCTATGTTTATCCGTAACAGATGGGGACCTACATGGACGCAACAGGTGTCGTATCAAATTTTATGACCATGACCTTTTGACCTAGACCTGTCAAATTTTATGGTTACATACTATAAAAACTATTCTATATATCTCAATAGCAGTTCATAATATAAGAGAGTACATGATATAAGAGGCACACGGTGGCTTAGTGGTTAGCATGTCTGCCTCACACCTCCGGGGTTCGATTCCCGCCGGGGCCGTGTGTGTGCGGAGTTTGCATGTTCTCCCCGTGCTGTGGGGGTTTCCTCCGGGTACTCCGGTTTCCTCCCCCAGTCCAAAGACATGCATGGTAGGTTGATTGGCGTGTCTAAAATTGTCCATAGTGTATGAATGGGTGTGTGAGTGTGTATGTGATTGTGCCCTGCAATGGACTGACCCGATACCCGATGCTTCCTGGGATTGGCTCCAAGTTCCCCGCGACCCTGAAGATGGAATAAGCGGTTGAAGATGGATACATGATATAAGAGAATTTCCTTCAATGATCCTGATGATATTTCGTAACCATTTAAGGGCTGAAAATTAAGGAATTTACTCCTTGAATTTATGCCCAAGCATGCAACTTGCAGCCTGAAATCCACTGAGTATATTGTCCAAGTAAAAACTATAGCATAGGAAATAAAATTATCACTTGGGAGGAAATTATTAAAACACTAGAAGGGCAAATGATCTACCTCCCTAATACAGTCAAAAGGGAACAGTGTGGAGAGACAAGTGACGCCTCAGATAATATCAGATTTACACAAATATGGGATCTGGCATAGAAATCAAAGGCGAGGATAACACTCACCATGTTAATGATAGAGAAACAGGTATATAATTTGACCATGCACAATATTACGTGAATAATATGGTTAACCCATAATGACACTAAAGTTATTCTACAAGTATTTATGTGAGAAAACGATCCAAAATAGATGAATACGATTGCCAAGCACTAAGAAAAGGAAAGTGGAAATAGGATAAGACTATCAATATAAAAATACCCACTAAGGTCGAGAAAAGTCCGTACCTAATACTTAGTGATGAACCTGAAGCATACAGAAAGAAACAATCAGTGAATACTAAGAGATTACGTGTGAGGGAGTGAATAGGTTCAATGGATCATGAAGAGAGAAAGAGTCAATGCCTGATGGAGTACCTCAACAATACCTTGTTATTAATATGGGTGTCAGCAAGAAATGAGACTATTCCATTTAGCGCAGTCAACTGGACCACCGTCATGAATGGAAAGTTGCCCTATCCTGATTATGATAACATGGAACAAATGAACCGTTATTACTCTTATGATGGCCAAACGAGATCGTACAAGAGTGGCTTGCTAACATTTCTGCGAGAAACAAAAGAAACGCTTAATGATGACCTTTGACCTGTCAAGATCATTATATTTGATGATGATGACCTTTGACTTAAAACCAATTAGTGATTTTTGGTAGCATACAAAATATACATACTATCTTCTCTCTCTGGTGTTGGAAGCCAATATTTGTTCTTTGCCATTACCTGAATACTTACCTATTGAAAATTGTGATGTAAATATACCCGTTATACCTTTGAGATCAAGGGATGATATGTTTCCTGAAGAGGGTGTTGTAGTATCCACAGGCCCCAAGCGCCAGGATGAGAAAACTCAGATCACCTCTAACCCTGTAACTTTACTGGACTTTATGTGCACAGCGCAGAGACATGAGCTGCAAGGCAAGAAGAGCTCGTCGCAGAAAGGGAAGAGAAGAAAGACTGATACGACTAGAAGAGGAGCTCAAGGATTTGGATCTTGTCGGCGACTGAAGGAGAAAGCACAAAGCAAAAACTGAAATAATTGGACTAAGACATGGTAGCTTTGAGAGATACTCAGAGGAGGATTGATAAATTCCATAGAAATGCTGATGTTATTTTATGTAAAATGGTTGAGAAAATGAATGAAGCTAGAATAAGAGCTTCATGTGATTCTGTGCAGGATAAATGCAAACCAGAATAGCTGGACAGCTGTGGAGAGAAATAGACAGGAACTGTCTGTGTGTGCGTCAGTGTGTGTGTGTGTATGTGTGTGTGTGTCTTCTCAAATGTCAGGCTGACACACACACACACACATACAGGGGGGGTGGTGCCTTCATGTGTAATCTCTTATGGGAACATTTGAACTACAATGTTAGAATGGATTTATTTCCACCAGAGGCCTACAGACACAAATGGAGAAACAACACATCACCATAACACATATATTACATCAGAGCAACAAATGTCTCCAAGAACCAGGTTTCACTAGACTGTGTTGTTATTATTACATAATTCTGATAAATAATAAGGTCACCTAGATTATTATCTAAGTTAGTGATTAATAATTATAGTCCTACACATACATAACTCCAGTCTGATCTATTCCCATACACATAACTCCTGTCTGATCTATTCCCATACACATAACTCCTGTCTGATCTATTCCTATACACATAACTCCAGTCTGGTCTATTCCCATACATATAACTCCTGTCTGATCTATTCCCATACACATAACTCCAGTCTGGTCTATTCCCATACACATAACTCCTGTCTGATCTATTCCCATACACATAACTCCTGTCTGATCTATTCCCATACACATTCTTTATATTTGTGTATTTCTTAATTAGTTAATACTGTTAATACTGATCTCTGGTGAAAATTTCATGTGAACAGCCTCATTGGAAATTATATTTATTGATAAATTGTTGATGTGTTCAATACTGTCCCCCACTGTATTGTATCCTCACCACTGAGGCTCTGGAGTATTGAAAGGGGGAATAGAGAACATCTATTTGGGGGCAGTAGTGGTTTGGTGTTTAAGGCTGTGGGTTACTGATCTGAAGGTCAGGGGTTCAAGCCCCCACACTGCCAAGCTGCCACTGTTGGGCCCTTGAATAAGGCACTTAACCCTCACTGACCCCAACTTCCTGACATGCTGGGGTATGTGAAGGAAAGAATTTCACTGTGCTGTAATGTATACGTGATCAATAAAGACTCATTATTATTTTTCTAACTATATTGAACCACACTGTAAACAACAATTTGTCTTTTTCCTCAAATCTCTTCTCTCAAGGATTCATTTTTACTAAAGAATAAAAGTTGTTACAGCAAAAGAAGATAATCAAATGCAACAATAACTAGCTCTACTTAAAGCTTGAACAGAATAACTACCAGGTCTTGCTGTCTCCTCATGGAATGATCTTCACGCAAGGGTCGGCAAAGCTGGGTTTAAAACATGACAGGTACAGTATCTCACAAAATTGAGTACACGCCTCACATGTTTGTAAATATTTGATGATATCTTTTCATGTGACAACACTGAAGAAATGACACTTTGCTACAATGTAAAGTAGTGAGTGTACAGTGTTGTCACATGAAAAGATATAATCAAATATTTACAAACATGTGAGGCATGTACTCAATTTTGTGAAATACTGTATGTGACACATGCATTGTGAGTTGAATTTTCTTTAAAAGTTTTACCAGACCAGGGTTTTTTACTTTGTCCCATAATTCACCCTGTAGTCAGTCTGGTACTCTTCCTCCTCGTAGTCTTATCTTTTATTTTGACACGGATTTGCAAGCTTAAAGGGCTTTGTTTGGAAACACAGTTCTGGTATGTGTCTAAGTGCTTTTTTCATTGCCATAGAGTGAAACTGGTTTAGGCAAAACATGAGGTTCTTAATGTTCGCACGTAGGATGTCACTTGTTAGAAAGTGTTTTCTAGTTTTAGATCATACCTGCTGTGCAGAGAGGTACGGGCTGACACAGAATTCATCTAACTCAGTACACACTACGAATATAACTTGATCAACAAGTGCACTATGGGTTTAGATAATGCTTCTAAGTAATAATTCTAACTGTCGGTCATACATATATTATACTTTAACATATCCAAATATTAGTAAACTGTGTAGTTACACACATTAATTCCACTTTATATTCTATACTTGTCCCGCTGCTCTGTGCTGGTGTCTCTATTCCTTTTCTCTTGAGGTGAGCCTGGGCTCTATGAAGGCATGCAGATGAAGTTTCTTGCTAGGCTGAGTGTAATACATCATACGTTGAGGCCTAGTCATATTCTATAGTACAACTCCTAACCCTTTTAACCCTTTTGAGAGTTTGATCTCTCTTCCACACTAGTCACATGAACTTCCCATCATCTGATACGTCACAGTGCGGATGCCAGATGGTAGAGAGACACAGGCACTATTCACTTTTCACTGGGGGCGCTCATAAAAAACCAAAGATTTGACCAAAAATCAGAATCCTGCTAAAAATGATGATTATTCACCATTTAGGGACAATTATACACAGCTTGCAACTATATTCAGTCTTTTTAGTGAAAGTCAAACGGTTTGTATCACTGTTTGCACACTTTTCCCTAAGACATGAAGCTACTGTATGCTGGTGATGTGATAAGATCTTGATGCACAAGGAAACATTTTTTGGGCAGTGCTTCTCACACCTCCCTCCCTCTCTGGACTGATTAACTGGACTGACTGGATCTCATCCCTTTCTCACACTCACATGCACACACACGCTTGGTAACACCATGCCAACTCCAGAACCTCTAAACGGCTCTAATAATCTCATTCCTTATGCACGCACGCTCAAAACAACCCCCCGCCAGATATTTGGGGAAAGTAATAATTGGTGTCGAAGATTCTGCTGGATGTAACTGTATGACTAAAAAAAAAATATGACATTTAAAATGTACTCAAGGTGAAATCTTGGGGGGATTTCATGTGAGGTCATAATAATAAAAAATAATAATATACGGTATAATAGAGCGTGGTGTGTTTTCTTTACAACTGTCGGACACTTAGAAATTGGCATTCTTCAAGATACTTCAGATCTTTGGAGACGGTTTAAAGTGGTGGTCATGAATCTATAGCTCGCGAGCCACATGTGACTGTGACAAAAGTCATGTGACTCGCCAGGCGTCTCAACCTTTACTAACATATCATCGTTAAAACCTTAGACACCACTACAGATCAGTTTCCTGCAGAAAATGCGAAGTCAATTACAATTCCTTTGTTGTACATCCTACCGAAGTGACTGAAAACAAACTATTCTAAAGTTGTTGTTTTTTTTTACTTTGAGGAGAGTTCGTCCTTGAAATATCAGTTATTTTTTCATGAAATACTGCTACTTTAATTCTGTTTTCTTAAAACCTTTTAAAAAGACACTAACATGACATTGTAGGGGTTTTTTAACTTCATGGTGCTGTGTATAGATCAGAATAGGCCGCTGTTCAGTCAATATGGATTAGGTTTTAAACGACTGTACACTAGTATCAAAGCTGTAAACACTCAGGAAACATCATTCTGAAGAATCACATCATCTTTATTTCCTTTAAGAGTAACAAAGTGCAGCATGTGCTGAGAGCTAGAGGAATTACACAATCTGCGTGACAGGACACTGATCAGCCTGATCCAGGAACAGCGTCTGGAACATGTGGTTATAGAAGTTGGGGTGGTACAGGCAGGCCCGGGCGCAGTCCGGATTAAAATTCACCTCCAGAATCTGAGGCTGCATTACTCGAGTTCCTGAGAAGCAAAGATCATCACGTGATATAAAACACTTCCAAACAATCTGGATTCACAAATATATCAAAATACAGTATGTATACACACACACACACACACATATATACAAAAGCAAATACTTGTGTGTGTATCTTCTCAGCAAAAAAGATAAACTTTAGACATAACAAATAACAAGCTAGCAAAAAAGATACAGAGGACAGGTTTTTAAACTAGGAGTGAAAAAAGAAGTTATAAACTAGGAGTGAGGAATGTGTGCGCAGTGAATTTCTACAAGCTAGAGTTCCATCAGTGTGTCCTTGTTTATCGAATATCTTATAGACTGATGATACTTGATTGGATTATACTTTAACTGAGGATTATGAGCAGCCTTATTGATTGGACATCACTAGCTGAACCCGGGGGTCAAGGAGATCGGCCCTGACATTCTGAGAAGGAATTATGAGCTGAGATATATAGAATAGTTTGTATGGTATGTAACCATAAAATTTGACAGGTCTAGGTCAAAGGTCAAATAGATATGGGTCAAAGGTCATGATCACAAAAATATATATAGCTATGTCAAATCGGGATCACATACATTCCTGACGCACACATTACCATACCTGGAGTGGCCATGTACAGTGCCTTGCGAAAGTATTCGGCCCCCTTGAACTTTTCAACCTTTTGTCACATTTCAGGCTTCAAACATAAAGATATAAAATTTTAATTTTTTGTGAAGAATCACCAACAAGTGGGACACAATTGTGAAGTGGAACGAAATCTATTGGATATTTTCAACTTTTTTAGCAAATAAAAACTGAAAAGTGAGTGTCGATAATTATTGCCGGCCTTTTACGTTCAGTGCAGCAAACTCACTCCAGAAGTTCAGCGAGGATCTCTGAATGATCCAATGTTGTCCTAAATGACTGATGGTGATAAATAGAATCCACCTGTGTGTAATCAAGTCTCTGTATAAATGCACCTGCTCTGTGATAGTCTCAGGGTTCTGTTGAAAGCGCAGAGAGCATCATGAAGACCAAGGAACACACCAGGCAGGTCCGTAATACTGTTGTGGAGAAGTTTAAAGCCGGATTTGGATACAAAAAGATTTCCCAAGCTTTAAACATCCCAAGGAGCACTGTGCAAGCGATCATTTTGAAATGGAAGGAGTATCAGACCACTGCAAATCTACCAAGGACGGGCGTCCCTCTAAACTTTCAGCTCAGACAAGGAGAAGACTGATCAGAGATGCAGCCAAGAGGCCCATGATCAGTCTGGATGAACTGCAGAGAACTACAGCTAAGGTGGGAGAATCTGTCCATAGGACAACAATCAGTCGTACACTGCACAAATCTGGCCTTTATGGAAGAGTGGCATGGAGAAAACCATTTCTCAAAGATATCCATAAAAAGTCTCCTCTAAGAGACTCGCCACAAGCCACCTGGGAGACACACCAAACGTCACACCAAACGTTGAGAAATGGCTTTCTTCTTGCCACTCTTCCATAAAGGCCAACAGTGTGTCTATGTTTATCCGTAACAGATGGGGACCTACATGGCCGCTCCAGGTATGGTAATGTGTGTGTCAGGAATGTATGCGATCCCGATTTGACATAGCTATATATATTTTTATGATCATGACCTTTGACCCATATCTATTTGACCGGTTAAATTTTATGGTTACATACCATACAAACTATTCTATATATGTTGAGGACGCGTTTTCTTTGGTTTCCTGTCCCCAACACACACACACGCACACACTCTTCCTTATCCTTTCTCTGATCATTTGGCCTCCCTTCTGACTCCATTTTCCCTCCTCCCTCTCTTTGTTTCTTTCCTACTTTCACTAGATTTCACTTGTGCTCTTTTCCACGTTCTCTCTCCTTTGCACGTGAAGCTGAAGGAAAGCAGAGCATGCTGATATAACAGGTGAGGACGAGTAAATGAGTGGAGTGTAACATTGTGTAACACCTCCTTCTGATTGTTCCCATTTCAGCATCAGGTCGATGGCGTATATCGCTCTGGAGGACGGATACGAGCAGATCCCGTACGGTGCAGGACGGGAGGACGCTGCCTGAAAGAGCTCTGCAAATGCCTTGAAGATATCCCTCTGATGTACACACACACACACACACACACACACACACACACACACACACACATTAGTTTTTGGCAGCTTTTCAAATGCAGTTATTGTGCATCTTATTTCATTTTAGAAATACAGTAACAGTGTAGTAGGACTCGGTAATATACAGATATAATAACTATATTGTGATGAATTACAGTGTCACTCACACAACTATCAATCTATCTTTAAAAAAACCCACACATTTATAAC